ACTGTTGTTGGTGAGAAGTTAGGAAGGTATAGGATATATAGAGGGGAAATTGATCTACATCTGTACGCAACGATTACTCATTGTAAAGGAAAAACGATTCTGAGCGGAGTTCGGTTAAACATGTTTTAAAAGGCCGTAATATTTACGATTTTCGTCAAAATTTGATATAAAAATTCTTAAAAAAAATCACTACGAACATTTTTCACTGAATTATAACAAAAAAACAAAATTGAAAACAATAAAAACATTTCCTTTAAGAAAATATACTACACTTGAAAATTGAAGTAAGATTTCTGGTAGACATTTTGGTACACAGTATAAAAAAATAAAAAAAATAAATACCATTGTAAAACCAATACATTCCTCGCTTCGTTCAGAATCTAAAAACGTTCATACAGGGCGTCGTTTTGTTTCTATACCTACCTATCTATATATGTTTGTATGATAACATAATAACCCGGATTCCATCACCCCTTAAGTAGGTAAAAATATAATCTATTATTTTTCTAACACTGCACCTTTTCACGTGTCAATACTTCATTATATTGTTCAATATTATAGGAACATACCCTTTTCTCAACATTGCTGCACACTATCTATAGGTACACAATATTTTCGTGTATTATATTTTTTAAAACCGAAACCACGCCCGCCACTTCCTTTCATACGAACCAATCTCCGTTACACCCTGTATATTACAGGTATACTATTGTTGTTTCGGTTTGAAAACATCTTATCTTTTATATCTTCTACAATATTGTGTACGTATTATATTATATTGTATTCTCTACCAATACCCGCAACACAAATGTAAGTTTTGATCCATTCATAACCTTTTTTTTTTTTTTTTTATAATGTAATTTATCGGTTTTTAAATGCAATTTTTACGAGCAATATTACGCGATATCGCGCGGTTTAGTCGAGACGAATCGAGTAAGTTTAACTTTTGTCGGACTGTTCAGAACATTCTCGAAGTCGTCAAATAGATTAAAATGTACAGTATCAATGTGAAATGTATAATACCAATGTATTGTACCAAATATATAGTTTTCTATAAAATACATGTTGTACACGTCCATTTTATAAGTCCAAAAATATACTCAAGAACGATGCATAGATTACATCGCGTTTATTAATGGTTGTAGTTTGTAAAATGCCTGCGGTTTTTGTATATAACCCCTCAAGCAAATCGGGCAATCTGACTCACGATAGAGAATTCCATTGAAAACATTAAGTTCGACCGCATATGTACTGTAAACCAAAGAGCAATAAAGGACTTTTGGGAAACTGCAGCAGTGTGTCCAAATAGACCTAATAGTGTAGTTTGTTTCGAAACTTCTTTTTTTTTTTTCTTTTTTTTTTCATTGCGTTTCTTGTGTATAATACCACAGTGGTAAATTATATTCTACAATAAAACCAAGACCGGATTAAGGGTCCGGTGGACCCTTAATTCGTGACCAAACTCGAAAAACTTCAAAATGTGGTCTCTTTAATCTTTATACACGTTTTATGCAAATGTTTGTACTACAAAAATATTTAACTACCATTCTATACATGTATAGCTGTTCCACTCGGTGACGTTGCCCGTGCCAAGACAAATGCATTCCAACAATGAACTAAGTAACGAATTTCTATAGTAACTACCGTTCGTTCACTGCGCGTGTCCTCGCGACAACTATTACAGCCCATATACTTATTTGTTTGTTTTAAATTTTTTTTTTTTCATTCGAATCACCAAGGTGACCCATCAACAATAAAAAAATTAAATTATCGTACCGACAATACCAATAATACTGTGTGAGGCCTATAGGCGCAAATATTTGGCGGGGGTGAGGCTGAATCGGGGGGCTACAGCAATTCAAGGGGGTGATAATGTGGCTTATATCTTGCCGTTCCCTTATTTGCGCCTATGGTGAGACCCCTATAGGAAAGATTTTTGAGGGAAAACTTATCTTATTAGTTATTCCCGGTCTAGAACTGTAATGATGCAACGTTTCAACTCAATCCGTCCAGTTATTTTTGCGTGAATATGTAACAAACATCCGAACAGACCTTGACATTTATGATTACTGTGAGTTATTCTGTGGACGTACCATGACCATCGCGGATTTATTTGTACGTTTTTTTTTTATGATACACAATTCTGTAGTACATTATTTTGATATATCTCATAAGGTTTAGTAGGCGTAACCAATGTGAACGCCCAAAAATATTTTTTTTACGACTTGATTTTGATACTGAAAACCTTATTAAACTCCGTTGTGCAATTTATAAGAACTATAAGCGCACAAACCGACGTTAATAGAGACTCCGTTTCACGCTATTTATGTATATTGTGTTACGGCAAATTTTGAAAATGGGATGATGTCGAATTTCCGTTAAATAGAACCGATTTTGTCGGTGAAATTATTTTTAACAATAGAGCGAATTAATTTGATTTACTATTGAACTTAAAGGTTAGCATATGATCTGTGTTTGAGCGTCTTCTCGATAATTTATATTCAAACGGAGACACGAATGTGTCATGGAATGTGAATTATTAAAAGCTTGAGTATAATAATTCACTTGTAATTCTGGCGAAAACCCGTCGTCGGCTGTCTTACAAAGCACAACATGTAATATTGTGTAATAGCGTTACGTTCAAAAATAATATTCGATTTTACATTCCGGGTGGAGCGATGAAGCTTATGGTTTAACAATGATGTGGTAATTTTTTTACTTTTTCATTAAGGAAATCTGACCGGAGAGGCACTTTGGGGAGATAATTTTTTGATTTTCCCGGGAATTTTCCCAATAGATGGGTGAAACCGGGAAAAACGTAGGAAAAACAGGAGAATAATAGGTACAATAGTAAATAAATTGTAATAAAGAAAATATACAACGCCTACGTATTAATTAGTTTACCATAATATGACATATATATATAACCGACAAATGAAAACTATCAACTGAACTCCGCTCAGAATCGTTTTTTTTTTTCGTTAGCGACGGTTTATCGTTGATTACATGCGGATATTATACATTAAATTTCGCCTCTACTACCTTTCCGACAGTATGTCCGTCTTTTTCGTAACACTGTTGTTCCAATCACGTTTTCGATGATATCAATTTCGGAACGTCTGTTTAATATTCATAATAACAAAATGTTTTATACCCCGCAAGCGCTGGACGGGCCCGATAATTTGGGCGGTTCGCGAGTTCCGCCCAGCTCTCCGACCCGTCCGTCCCGGTCTGTGACGAATTCCCCGCGTCCGTCGGGCCGTCCGCGTCCCGGATACCCGTCCGTTTAGGTTCCGAGCGGGGCGGTGCACGCGTCGGTTTCACAATGACGTTTTCGTTTGGTTTTCACTCCGCGCCGCGTACGAAATTTCCGGGAAATTCCCGTTTCCGGACCGCCGGCCACTGCGCCCCATGTACGCGGGTATAGGTCGTCTACGGGGACCGCCGGGACCGCCGCACCCGTCGCAAACCGGACCCGGTCGCCGTGACCGGCGGGATGCCGGTCTCCGAACACGCGGACTGTATTCCGTCCGTTTTCGGGCCGCGCGCGTATGCGTCCCGCACGATGTGAATTACCGCGTATCGTTCTCATTCCGCGCGCCCGCCGCCGGCGTCCTCGTGTCGTTACCGCGGGCCGTCAATGCGTTTAGGCGCGTCGCGGTCGACAAACGCGCTCGATAATATGCGGGCACCATAGCGTCCCCGGGTTACGGCGTTCGTACGCGGGCACGCAACGGGGGAAGCGAACTGTCGAAAATCTTGCGCGTCGATTTTTCTCAACGGTTTAACACGACTACCGGAATAAAAAGAACAGGAAAAAAAAAAAAAAACAACCGCCCGTGTTAAACCACGCGGTTAATTCGGCACGAAAACGACACGTCGTCGGTCGGCGGCGGCGGCGGCGTCGGCGTCGGAGGCGCCTGGGTGTATCGTATTTTACAACCCGGCGTGTAGACCGTCGCGGTCTTTACTAACGACGTATTAACGTATTTAAAATTTACAGGAGAAGAAAAAAAAAAAAAAAATACCGAATATTCTTGTTACGAAAAATAATCGTTTTTAATCCGATACGAGATCAGAGAATGTTGTGTAAACGGTGTTTTTTTTTTTTCTTACAACAAACGCACACGCACGTACAAGATATACGTGTAGGTATATATTATAATACGTCGTCGTCGTGTTCGTACGCCGCGCGCATAAATTCGTGTTTTAATAGAAAAACACGTTTTACCGTGTTTTCCCCGATAAATCATCTACCTAATATTCGGATGATGGAGTATTTTCGGTGGGCCATTAAATTCCATTAAAACCGCATTTATACATTACAATACGGTATACCTATTATCCGGTATACGTTAGACGTGGGAAGAACTAACAGCTCGGCGACGGCGTGGCGGATATTTCTCATTTTTTTTTTTTTTTTTTTTAACGATACTCCCGGCTTATAACATGACGAAAACACATAATAGTGGGAAGTATGTAGGGTAGGACGTAATACCTATATATTGTAGACTAGATTTCGTAATTTAATTTAAAACCCGAATGCGATAGTAAATCATTTCCCGTTAAAATTCACTATAAGAAAAAAAAAAAAAAAACGTTTTACGTCATTGGAACTAGAAAATAATTTATGAATTTCAGTGTGTAAATTTGTCGTTTTGAGAAAAACCAATTTCAAATTTCAAATACTATCAGGACGTATATCGACAATCGCACGTTATTTTTTTTCATTTTATGTACTTTAAAAAAAATAATAATAATAATAGCGTACAACGCAATATTAGGACATCTCCCGTGATTTACGTTATGGCTGTCTGTAAATGAAAATGTTTGTTATTCTACTGATACTAATATGTCAAAAGTGCGCAATGAAAGTTGTGACTGATTTGTTCTAAATCTGGGGTTTATTTCTTGGTCGATTCTCGGATGTTACCTAGAGCGGCCCTTCGGTCCCTCATTACCCCTCGGTCTTTTTAGATGGCGTGGGCCTTTTCGTGGCAATGGATACAAGTGGTGCCGTGGATTTATCCCAGCGCGAAGCCAACATCGAGACTACGGGATCGCCTCTCCGCGTGGCCGTCCGGGGTCTTCTTGCGTTCCTACCGTTGGGTCACAGCGTCGGATGCTCTCGGGCGGCCCACGTACCTCCGGCAACGGAGATTGTGTTATCACGCGCGTGCCTCCGGTACGGACTGAACATTCGCTTCGTAGGCGGCCGGGTGTCGGGATGTGTTCAAAATTTTACGAAAAGTATTTCGGGTGATGTCCGAAGCCCCGGCGTCGACCCATTCTCGGCGCCGAACGGAGACCCGGGTGTCGGCCGCGGTCAGTGTCTTGCGGTCGGATTCGGACGGGCTTATGAGTTTCGTCGGGTAGCGGCTGAAATAGCCGGGGGGCGACCCACCGGACAGCGACTGAACCCGTAAACGGGCGGCAAGTGAATTGGTTAGCGGTCGGTGTAACCGCGTGCCGATGCGGTTGTCGCGCATCCGGAGCTAGCCCTGATCCCACCGGGCGTTTTGAACAGCGGCCCTCGGCTAATATGAGGTACCCGGTTGTACCGTGCTTTAGGATTAACAATCGGGTCCTCTGTCTTGTTCTAATGGTGTGACGAGTCGCACACCATATAGAGTCGCAAGCCCAGCAATATTGCTAAAATTCAGTGAAAAGCGGTCGGCGGTTACCGATCTGTGTGCCGGACGGATTTCTCCGCGGTTGGTTAGTTTGAGCTCGTGGGCAAACATACGAATCCGGGATTGCGTGTTTCATAGAGAAGCGATGCGAACGAATGTCCGGCGCGAGAATGAAAATAAAAAAAAAAATAAAATTTAAAAGATGCACGGAATTATTCAATTTAAATGTATTCACTACCTGCACCGGTGACAAAACACGATCCTGAACAATGCCCTGTAATAAGTATTGTAGTTTTTACGATTTTCGTCAATATTTCGACTTGAAACGCTAACGAACTGATGAAAACTCCTCGGAAAATCAAAAAATGACCTCTTCAACGCACCAACTAGATCCGAAATGCAACAGACAAGGTTTCTTGTCATTTTTCGTATGTTTGTATGGTGTAGCAGAGTTTGAAATTCTAAACCGCCACCCACCGAGAAAAATTTCACCCGTATAAATGTATACTTTCCAACACCTACAACCTACACTACCTTGAGTGTTTATACCCGTTCCAACCGCGACTATCCTAAATCCCAATTATCGGGGGACACCCACCCGCTCAAAACATGATGTTTTTGACAGTTTGGGCGCCACTGGATTGGCGCCGAGTTATCAAACAGAAATGTACGCTTGCTGTACAAATACAATGGTCAAGATCATATTAACTGCCGAAACATTTCTCGAACGATTAAAAAGAGGTTATTTAATATTTATTGTATCGAGAGTGGTACTGTATTTTTATTACTTTTTTTTTTCTCATCTGGTCCCCCTCGGAACAAATAAATAGAAATACAATAATAATACGCGTAAGTAATGCGTAGAAGTTCGGCTAATGAAATTAATTAATATGAATTTAAACGCGCACGAATATGACCGACGACGGTCGACAGAATAAAAAAAAAACTATACGGACAACCGTCGGTCGACAATGCTTCAATATAGTATATTAACAAAAAAAAAAAAAAAAAAAAAAAAAAAAAAAAATAATAAAAAAAATCTCTTTAGACGATGCCGGCGCATAGATTCAACTGATTTAAGTAACATATGCGGCGGTGGCCGGTGGCTCCTGTTATAATATATTATACACAATAACCGGACGCGGTGAATTAATAAACGCATTCAATTATAACTGATTAATGTACGCGATAACGATAGTAAAAAAAAAAAAAAAATAATAATAAAAAATAATAATAATAATAATAATAATAGTAATAAAAAATCCTTCCGAACCGCGAAGATATATCAAGTGGTCTCGAGAACATAATAATAATCGTTCCGAGAGGATATTCAATTAGTTCTGTACGATTGGAATAATACTATTACAACGTGCAAACGGGTTTGTCGTTTAAATATTATTTCGATTTCCGTTCGAAAATCAAGGGCGAAAACGCAAGACGCTCTCGAACGCTCGGTCGGTTTTTTTTTTTTTTACAGTACGACTGTGTGAAACGTTCGTAATACTTCGCAATACGTGTACCATGCAAATAGTTAATATTTGAAATAAACGAACGACTGTGACGCATTTTTTTGATACACCTATCGCACGCTCGTATACACTACGGTCCGGTGCCGCGGCGTAGGGTGTACGGCCACGGCGGTATGCCTTTCGATCGTTTCGTTTACAACCACCGATTAAAACTGATACTATTGCAATAACGATCAAACACGTTCAAACGGAAGGCGATAGTTGGCCCGAAAGTATTTTGTCGGAAATACGTTTCCGACAATGTACGTTACCGAAAAGAATACGGTTCCGACAAAATAGTTTCCAATATTTTACGCGCCCCCCGTTCAAATTACCGATGATGTTCACCGAACAATAACCGGGGTCGCGAAATGTTTTAAACAAGTACCCCCGCATGTTCGAAATGTAAAAAAACTAAATCAAAACCACTAATATTATATTACGTTCTGGAGCAGGCGCGTATCGAGAACCGAAAGGGGGCTGATCATAATGGATCATAAATAATAACATTTATCACAGCGTATAATATTAGGTACCAATAAACGTCTATAAGGTGGGGCTTAAAATCAATAAAATGTAATTTAAGCCTATCGCGGCGCCTTTCATGGACCATGGGAAAAATGTTTAGATTTTCTTAAAATTTCGGGAGAGGCAGGGGCTGCATCTCACTCGGCTCCCTTCTCAGCCACTGTTCTGAAGGGTATAGATACGTATATAGTTATTATTCGTTCTGAAAATATAAATGTAAATTAACAGTTCCTATTACTTTCGAATAATGAAGTAACATTTTTTTCAATTGTTATTTTATTCTTGAACGGTCATGATAAATTCATTTTTATAATTAACTTAGCGTTAATGGTATCATGAGATGCTACGAGTTCTTTGTGCTTGTCCACGGTGTGGAATCCTGAACTCTGATTGATGTCACCACCAAGAAACCAGAAGCGGAGCATTTGAGTTATGATTATATATTTATATAGAAGAATGCCGAAGATGCCGCTCGGATTACAAGCGTTGAAGTTGTCTGAAGAATGAACAAGGACACTGAGCTCATTAACACCATTCAGGTCGGAAAGCTCAAATACCTATGGCACACGATGAGAAATGAAAATAGTTATTCTATACTTTAATCCATTTTGCGATGGAAAATAGTGGCCAAGATAGGACCCGGCAAAAGAAGATCATCGTGGCTTCCGAATCTGAGGTTGTGGTTTGGGAATTGCTCATCAGCGTTGTTTCGCGTCGCAAAGAGTAAACCGCCGGAAAGACCGCCCACATTCGGGATCGGATAGGCATCCGAAGAAGAAGACTAGTATTATATTATTGATATTAACGAAAAAACAAAACCTTTTTTTAAACTTGTTCGAAACATACGCATTTGTTTACAACATACAACATGTTTGAACAAAAATGTTGGGTTTTTTTTTTTTTCGTTATTCCGCAACCCTGCTGAGAACATTGAATAATAATATTCGAACGCGCTGAATTGATCGCGTTCGCGTGTCCCGTAATACTTATGGGATTTAATAAAAACGGCGATTACCGGCAACCCAACGCTAGTACCGCGTACAAATACTAATGACGCACGACATATTCGTATTGTTCTTGTTGCATTACTCCAGTTTGACGGGAGATTTTAGCAACCGTCGGTTTCGTTCTCGGTCTCGCGCCGTTCGATATTAAAATGTTACAATTAAATTGCCTACACGATTTATACGCACAACGTTAATATTATACTCGGACGACTCCCGCGGAATGTCATACGAAATCGGGTTCAAACGAGGACAATAGTATAAAACGTTCTACGAACGTCGATTTTCACAAAAAAAAAAAATAATAATAATAATAATAATATTTTAACGACCTCTCGGACGATTTCTAACGATTCTCGAATTGTATATTTCATCAAACGGTTTTGGTAGTACCGATTCGTGTATTATACGCGGACTAAAATTTCCTCTCCCCCCCCGGTACCATGGACATTTTGTTTCGCTTACGCACGGTATCAAAACGCGCCGACGTGTTTTAATAATATCGTATTAATTTCTGCACGACAATAATACGACGTGCCGTACACACGACTAACACCCGTAACATTTGATAGCGTTTCGATTTCCACGTCATCAGACCGAATCGAAAATGATATTACTGTAGTTAAACTATAGTGTACAATGCTCGGAACTTTGTACCGTACGTATCGGGAAATTGCCGAATAAAATTAATTCGAATTTACCGGACTTATTATTATTATTTTTTTTATCCACTTTTCTACCCGGAATTTCGCTCCGGTCGTCAATCGTAGCGCTTTTTCCGAACGAAAATCTGACTGGAATGGTACTTTAGCGGGGTAATTTTTTTGATTTTCATAATAAACGGGGAAAACCGCATAGGATAGACGAGCAAATGTACGAAACGTATTGTTTTGAAATCGTAAATATTACAGCCTTTCAAAACACTATCCAACCGAACTCCGCTCAGACACGTTGTTACGCTATCAACGGTTAATCGTTTCGCGCAGAGACATACAATACGTTTTCCATTTACCACCTTCCCGGCTTCTCACCCATAACAGTGGCCGCGCCCGTGTCCATATTATCCCGGGACAGCTTTTTTTTCTCTTTCTTAACTCGTATCGGTTTTTACCAATAAAACGCACAAATAAAATGATCCGGAGATCCGAAATACCCGAACAAGTGGCGTTCGTAAATCCGCCCCGTACGGCCCGTTTAATCCGGGAGCAAATATTGTAGAGTTTTGTTGATCTTATATTATAACCCGTTCTGTTGACAACTCTTGTACGCTTGATCAGACTATTATAATATTGCATTGCAGTGCCGCGGGTTTGTTTGACTTTGATTTGCGTGCGCTTACGCGTTACGCACACGGTTCTGATAAATAATATTGACGATAAACCCGGGTTCCTACGCTCCGCCGTAGCGAGTAATATCGCGCGAGCATAAACGCGTTTACGAATCTCGGGAGTTTGTTTGCTATCAGATTTTGAGCACAGCGACAGGAATGTGTTGGTTTTACAATATACGTACACCATACAGTAAAACCGACACGTGCGCTGAATTTTATTTATGAAAAAAAAAAAAAAAAACAAAAAAACGTTCTTGTGTCTTTTATCGGCTTTTTTTGACAAGAACAGTGACAAGACAATAAATGACAAGACAGCTTTCCTGTATAGTGTTTCGGATCTAGTCGGTGTACCGAGGAGATCGGCTTTCGATTCGCACTTGTATTCTGCTTAATAACTGCGAAAAAACGGTCATTTAGAGCCGCGCGATATCACAGGTCACACTCATGGAACTCGCTGTCCTCAAACGTTTGGTGATATATTGTGCTGTTTAAATCGTGCATAATGACAGGTTTTACTCACAGCTTTTGTCCACAAATATAAGACCAGACATGATTAAAATACTTCGCGAAAAGCACTCGGAATATTTTAGAAATACATGTAAAATAAAAACAGAAACAAAAAAAAAAAACGCCGGGAGAGTCGGGAAGATCGTGAAAATAAAACAATTCTTAGCGGAGCAGTATCAATCGTTTTTTTTTTCTCGCTCTCTCACTCTTTATTTATTCTTTTATTATCAATTTTGATATTACGCTACGGCTCGCAGACGAGCTAGCAGTAGAATAGCTAAAAACGAAGAGGAATCGCAAAGGATGTCGAAACGTATATGGAATGAACACTGTCCAACGAATTAAATAAGATAATAAATACGAAAAAGACTAAAGTTGAGCGGGGTGAAAAAACGATAATATTAAGGGCATAAGAATACGTTTAAAAAATAACCAATTATATCATATTAAATTCTTTTCACACACGGCGAAGTGAATTTTTCCGGGGAAGTAAAAACTCCCAACTCCCTCCCCCCTCTTGTGTACGTCCGGATTCCCAGCAAAAACGTACTTATCCGTCTCCCACCCGAAATCCGGTCACGTCACTCGTATGCAGCGTCTCCGGACGTAAACTTTATGGCTCGCTCTGTATACCCTAACGTCGTCCGTCCCCGTGCCCCGGTCATTCCGTACACCTAAATACGTATCGTGCAGAGTGATACGGGACGACGGGGCGATTAAGGTGTCGTGTACGCGGACGAAAATCCAATTGGTTTAGATTCCGTTTCCGCTGTTTAGCCCGACCGCTGAGCAGCGCAATACTCGCAACCGCACGCACGCACGCACGTCCGCGTAAACAGATATATTGCGAGGACGAAAAAATATCGACGCGGTTCGCGTTGTAATGAAAATTGACGTGTACGCGACGGGGCGGTTGGAGTTTCGTTTTTTATTATTGTTTTGTTTTCAGCAGCAGCAGCAGCAGCAGTAACAAATCGAGGGGATCCCCGGAGGTATCGTGCGGTCGTATTAACTAAACCCTATCTGTCGCGGACGCGTATCGACCCCAAGTCTGTTGTTTTTTTTTTTTTTTTTACTAAACCGATCGTAATTAGATTGAAACACAATAGCGAATGTGCACCGCGGCGACCTTATATATCCACCGGCGGCTGCGGGGCTCGTTCGAATAATAATAAAAACAATAATATAGTCATCATCGGTTCTTTTCGCCGCTATCTACGGGTGCGTTCGACGCACGAGCGGCGTCGACAGGAAAATGCCTGCGTTCGACTACTGCGAGAGCAGTTAGTTTTTCGATCGGAGTTTGTTATTGTTTTTTTTTTTTTTTTTTTTTTTTTTTTTTTAGTTTCTGTGTGCGAAGCCAATGCGCCGGCGTGTCATTGCAGTTTTACCGTATGAATTACGACGAACGCGATTCGTTTTTCCGTCTGTAAACTGCAACTTTTCGACATGCTTTCGAGCATTTTTTTTTTTTTTTTTTGTAAAATTTCGAATCACCTACGGTCGGTGCACCAAGTCGTTTTTTGATTTCCCGAGTAATTTTCATAATTGATAGTTGACCGGGAAAAAAATACCGAGTTACGGCCAATAACGGTTTCGTTATTTTCGACTTTATCAAATTTTATTTTTCTACCGGAAATTTCCATCCGACTTTCAACAGTATAGCATCTCTCCCGTGAGAAATGTGATGACGTGTATAGTTTCGGATGACAATTCGGCAAAATCGACTTCTATTTCTGGAGCGGAAACACGTGATAGACGATTTGATGTTTCATCGATTCGCATTTTTGTATCTATAATTATGTTACTTATCTATTCTACATGTTATGCGCTCTATGCTCTTGGACGTTTATAATTCAAATTAAATAAATAAATGTGCAAGGCGATTTCTTTAATTTAATTTGACATGTGAAAATACGCATTTTCACAAATATAACAGTCGTTCCAGATAATATTTTCGACGCAAAGTCTCGTGCGAACGAATACTATTTTCATCGAGCAATGTTTTCCAAAACTGCACGCCGATATCTTTTGTAGATAAAAACGGATCCGTATGGCGACCCGCACAGTTCTAATAGAAGCGGAGCGTTTCGCTTTTCACGATTTCAACCGCCGTGGGATTATAAAACAAATTTATTCGAGGATTTCGTTTGCGATTGACGCGATAAAATAAAACGCACGGACGCAAACGGTCGAATCGTTATAAAGCAGTTATGAAATCGCGGCGCGGCGAAAAAATGGGTCGCCCGGTCGCCCGTCCCTGGTCCGTGACGTTGGCTGCAACACGATTGGGCGAATTTGTCCGGGCGTATCGACGGACACGCAGAAGTACAATAGAAAAACCCGCACGGTTGCGCATAAATAACTCTGCGACGTTTTCGATTTCGGACTGTATTGTGCGAAAAGGCATTTGTTTGCGTAGTGATAACAATTCGAAAACATCGTACGACAAATGAAAAAAAAAAAAAAAAACAAAAAAAACCGCGATTCCGTGGTCGATATTCTACAGCGGTCAGCGTGCACTACGGATGAACCGACGTCTATTGCTATCGACGGCACTGACCGTCCGGGCTCGTCCAGTCCGTTCGAGTGCGGTACCGTAACGGATACGACCGGCGCAATATTATCGCCCGCCCGCGGAGGTACGAAATCTCGGCGACGCGTAAACGTGACGACGCGCGCCGCCGTGCGACCCGCGCGACCGAAAAAAATGTTTTCGCGCTCGGCCGTGCCGTGCCGTTGACGTTTCGACGGACGTTGTGCCGCCGGCGATTTCCGGGGTCGACGACGGGCGCGCGGAAACGGGCCGGGCGCGGGCCGTTCGCCGCGCGCCCGAGACCCGCGCCCCGGCGGATGTGCGCGCGTCCGGAAGAAATAACGGGTTGTCGGCGGCGGGTTCGATTTCAATTAAACCGCACGGCCCCGCGGAACACGATGAAATACGGGGACGGTTGTTTGTCAGCGATTTCTCGTGCAGGGGTCCATTACGCGGCGGCTGCGGCGGCGGTTTGTGTGTTTTTCGCGCTAAC